GCAATCAATCTCACTATCGATCGCACTATCGATCTCACAATATATCTCACATTCGGTCTCGCTATCGATGTCACTACCGATACCACACTCGATCTCACAATCAACGTCATCATCATCATCATCAACATCAACACCATCGTCATCAAGGTCATCGACATCATCATCATCATCATCATCACCATCGGGACACCATCATCATCATCACCAACGCATCACCACCATCGTCGACATCATCATCAGAATCATCATCATCATCGGGGCACCATCATCGTCATCATCATCATCAATATCACCATCATCGGGACACCATCATCATCATCATCGGAACACCACCATCATCATCATCAACTCATCAACATCATCATGAACAACATCGTCAACATCATCATCATCATCAGGACACCATCATCATCACCGGGACACCATCATCATCATCATCATCATCACCCTCATTACCATCATCATCGGGACACCATCATCATTGTCACCATCATCATCACCATCATCATCATTATCATCGGGACACCATCATCATCATCAACATCAGTATCAGCATCACCGGGTCACCATCATGAAAATCATCATCACTTCATTATCATCCTCATCATCAACATCATCATCATCGGGACACCATCATCGACATCATCATCATCATCATCATCATCATCATCATCATCAAATTCATCACTACCATCGGGACACCATCATCATCAACAGCATCAGCATCAACCTCATCATCATCATCATCATCGGACACCATCATCATCATCATCATATTAATCAGCAGCATCTCATCATCTCATCAGCATCAGCATCATCAACATCATCAACATCACCATCATCATCGGGACACCATCATCATCATCATCACCAGCATCAGCATCATCAACATCATCATCATCATCATCATCATCATCATCATCATCATCATCGGGACACCATCAGCATCATCACTATGGCCATCATCACCATGGCCATCACCACCATCATCCTCATCGGGAAACCATCATCGTCACCATCATCATCATCATCAGCAACATTACCATCATCGGGACACCATCTTCATCGTCGTCATCATCGGAAAACCACCACGATCATCATCACAATCTCATCATCATCATGAAACACATCATCAACATCATCATCATCGGGAAACCATCATCATCAGCAGCAGCATAATCATCAACCATCAACCTCATGATCATCGGGGCACCATCATCATCATCATCGGGACACCATCATCATCACCATCACCATCATCATCAACAGTATCATCATCATCAACCTCATCATCACCATCGGACACCATCATCATCATATTCATCATCAGCATCCCATCATCTCATCAGCATCAGCATCATCAGGATCATCATCATCATCATCATAATCATCAACAGCATCACCATCACCATCACCATCACCATCATCATCATCATCATCATCATCATCATCATCATCATCATCATCATCATCATCATCATCATCATCATCATCATCATCGGGACCCCGACGGGACACCGGCGGGACACAGGCGGGACACCGCGCGCCGCCGGCCCCCGGACAGGAAACATTTGGTCCGGCCACGCCTCAGCCAGAGGCGGGATACTTCTCGCCCGCCCACGCAGCTTCGCCTCGCCCGCACGCACGGCACGCACGAACACGAAACCGAAACCGATTTCCCGGTAGGGGGGCTCTCCGTTCCACTTCGATCTCACCCCCTCACCTCCGATACACACACACACACGAATGTCGGCGCTACCCCAGGGGCCGCCTCGGGGCCATGCCGCGAGACAAGGGGCAGCCGCACGGTTGCTCCTAGATTGGGGTCACCGTCGTCGTGGTGGTCGTGGTCGTGGTAGCGGTCGCGGTCGTCGTCGTCGTCGTCGTGGTCGTGGTCGTCGTCGTCGTCGTCGTGGTCGTCATCGTCGTCGTCGTCGTGATCGGCGTCGCCGTCGTCGTCGTCGTCATCGTCGTTGGCGAAGAGAGGTGAGCGGCAACGATAGGGAGCATCGGTTTTAACCGATCCCCACTACCGACACCGAAGCCAGCCGTGGCGACGACGGGAGGGTGGCGGCATCGGCACATTTAGAGGCCTCCTTGATGGGGTCCAAATAGATGGGGTCGGAGGATCGCGCCGCATCGGCGATGCATCGGCGATACAACGGCGATGCACCGGCGATGCATCGGCCATGCATCGGCGACGTCGGCAGTGCATCGGCGACGCCGGCGTGGAGAGAATTGGGCTCCACATCGAGCCGCATCGCCGATGCATCGGCGATACGGCGCGATCCTCCGACCCCATCTACTCGGACCCCATGTAGGAGGCCTAAAATATTTGTCCTCTTCGGGCAGGTGTCGGTAATTTTCTCCATACTCTTCCTTCCTGGCGCCAAGAGCGGTGGACCGCAGCATGGACGTGGTGAGTACAGGTTAACCTATCCCCGTCTTCACTGGCACGGGCCGGGGCCCCACTGGCCGATTTACCCCCCTGGATGGAGTCATAGGCTGTTCCCTTCGCATGGGGATGGGGCTTGGGGGGATGGGCATACAATCGATGCGTATAGGAAGCATGCACGATAAGGATGCAAGGGCCTTGGAAGGCCGTGTCGACGTGTTCCGAGCGAAGCGCGGCTAGCGAAAGTGACCAAGGATGGGCCAAAGGGGAAGGACGCAAGGTTAGTCTTGCAAAGTCGCTCGTCCTTACCACACTCCCTGACTGTCGGGGGGACGCATCGACCTCGAATGGCCGATACATCGCCCGTGCATCGTCGGTGCATCTTCAACACAGACTGCCCATGTATCGTCGACACATCGTCGATACGTAGCCCATATATGTCTTTGGGCAGCGTGCCTTGATATCAACGATGCATCGTCGATGTAACGACCCTTCGAGGTCGATGCGTCTCCTCGTATGCCTACGCACCCCCCCCAAATGCTGCCTCCGAAGAGGGGAGGAGGGGATCAGCTCCACGTGGCTCCCAAAGCCTGATCACCAAGGGGGGATCGTCTGGCCTGCTGCTCGCGCCCCAAGGCGGGCTCCCTGCGGGGGGCCAGTTCGAGGAGGGCGGGATGGGAGAGGTGGAAGAGGAATGAGGAGCAGGAGGACGAGGACGGAGAAGGACGGAGGAGTACGAGGGCAGCGACGGCGACGAGGGTGAGCAGGGGGCAGAGTAGCTATCCCTCGATGAAAGGCAAGAGGGAGGGGGCAGCCCTGGCGTCGCTCTCTTGGCCCGGGGACGACCGTGCCAACCGCGTCCGGCGCCAGGGAGGGGGGGGGCCAGGAGGCAGCGAAGGAGCAAGGCGATGGCGACAGGGACGATCTGCGGGGAATTAAACATGACATGAACAGAAAGCTTTCGGAAGTCCGCGCGGATTCCTCGGATCGGCGGCGTAGCGCGCCAGGGGCGGCGCCGGAGAGGCCGCCAGAGAGCTCCAGCGCCGATCTGAGACATCCGCGCGGAGCTGCAAAAATTTGTGTTCATGTCACTGTTTCGGGCGATGGCAAGACTGGGTTCAAAGGGACCTGGCTTAGTGATCTGTACCGGGGGCGCCCGCCCCCCGTCCCATTCACTAGCCGGAATTGCCGTCACCCGAGAAAACACCAGCTGCGGCAGACCTGGTTGAGTGGTTGTGGCCAATTGAGGGGCTCTGGGGCCCTACACTTGCCGGGTCCCCCTACCTGGGGTCCTGGCTATACCCGATCCGCGCGGAGCTGCAAAACTTGTGCTCACCGCTTCCCCTGCACACGCCGGGGGGGCGCCGCGGCCGCCCGCCGCGGCCGCTGGCGGCGCCGCATCAGGGCGGGGCCCACCGCCACGGCCGCCGTGGCGAGGCCGTGGGGCCGCAGCTTGTGGCGCGCACCGGCGCGGCTGGCGATACCGCTGCGCGGAAGTCGGGCATGCCCCTCTACAGGAGGAGTTTTCAGAAATGGTCAAAAAAAATAATATGTGGACGATTTTTGGACGACGTTTCTGGCCATTTTTGAATTATTTTGGGGTTTGGTCTTCTGTTCCGTCCAAGATCCCCCTGCAGGAGGACATGCCCGACCCAACGCTACGCCGTGGACCCTTCCTGGGGGGCGCTCTGACCGGAATTTCGAGGCGAATCCGGCTGTGGCGACGAAGGCCTTCCGGGCGCCACGAAAAGGCGAGAACCCGCGGCAGCCTCCACCGCAAAATCCCCCCCGGCGCGGCGCGAGCCTGCCGCAGAGGGCACCCTTCACTCCTCCCCGCCTCGCCCGCCGACTGTCCGAGCTCGTCCCCCGAGGAGGAGGAAACGGAGGAGGAGGAGGAGGAGGAGGAGGAGGAGGAGGAGGAGGAAGAGGAGGAGGGGGGGGGGGGGGGGGGGGGGGGGGTGGGGGGAGGGGGAGGGGGAGGGGGGAGGAGGGAGAGAGGGATGGAGGGAGGGATCCTCTGGGCGGGCTGCCGCGGGGCCGCTCTCAGAGGGCCGCGGGGCCGCAGCCCGCGGGGCTCGCCGCCGCGGCCGCCGACGGCGCCGCGGAGGCGCCGCTGGGCGCGGCCGGCGCCTGCGGCGGCGGCGCCGAGGCCGGGCCGGCGGCGGCGCCGCAGGCCGCGGCCAGCGAGGCGTGCAGGCAGGGGGCCACACGCGAACCCTACCCCTACCCCCCACGATTTCTGAGTGAGGAGGGTGTGGTTCACTTCGTTCGGGAGCTCCCGAGCGAAGTGAACCCCACCCTCCCCCTCAGAAATCGTGGGGGGTAGGGGTAGGGTTCGCATGTGGCCCCCTGGCAGGGTGGACTGGGCGAGGGCCGCGGCCCGCTTCTGCTCCTCGATGTCCAGGGGAACGGCCCACGACGAAAGCATACAAACTCGGAGGGCTGCGCAGATGCCTCGGAGCTGCGCTGGGGCTCCCCGGCGGCGCCTCCCGCGCCGCCCCTGGCGCGCTCCGCGTACGAGGGAGGAGGGCCCAGCGCTGGTCCGAGGAATCCACGCGGACCTCCGCATGTTGTTGCTTACGTTATTGCTAGTTCCCCTAATGTC